TATATATATATATATATATATATATATATATATATATATTGCATTAAATAATTTACTAAAAATGAACAGGGATTCTGCTAAAATGAGGCAATAATAACTGCTCATAAAAAGATTTATGATAAAAAAAATTCTTTAAAAAGTCTCCACTGGCCCTTGGATAAAATTTCCATTTTCATTTGAATTCTGTTTATCACCAGTTATTCTACCAAAAAAAAAAAGAAGTGCCTTACAGTGACATGTATTTAAAAGTAAGAATCATGAAAACTATGGTGGAAAATAAAAATAAGTCCAGAGAAAACAATATATCGAAAGTTTATGCAGCTATTAAAATTGCCCTACCCACTTTGAATTTGAGTTTCCTATCAACCACACATGTATAATAGTGTTCTAAGCACTTTATAAATATTAACTCTGGTATTCCTCATAACAGTTCCATGAAGGACTATTTTATCTTCATTTTATTTATGAGAAAATTGAGGCACAGAGTGATTAAATAACTTGGCTGAGGTCACACAGCTAGAAAGAGAAAAGCTGTGATTCAAACCCAGGCAGTCTGGCTCTAGAGTATATGCTCTTATTCATTACACTAAGTTGAATTTAGGATTGAATTGGTGGTCCTATAGTTGCAGATAGATCTGATAAATCTAGCTTTTCTTTGCTACCTGTTTTATTTCTCCGCTGAGTAGGAGAGCCATGGTAATTTGAAGTGTGCTTTGAAGTTATCAATCAATGTGTGCTTAAAATAATTTTATAATGGATAGTAGCCAACTGATATGTGAAAGTAATAGGATGTTAAAATGGATTCTTTCTGTTTGAGTTAGCTGAGATCTTGAGATGATAATAAGTCAAAAAACAGATTCCTCTATCCATTTTACAAAATGAAGTTTGATATTACTTAAGCCAGACTTGCAAAGGACAACATTGAGAACTTCTTTTAGGGCCCTGAAGTAATTACCTACTTCCAGTCCATTGAAAGGACAGCAAAAGCCAAGAGGAGATTAATAATTAAAAGGGTATTTCTGGGGAGAGTTGGGAAAAGCTGTGATTATGCACATACTTCCAAAGAGAAAGGCCACTTTTTCTTTATCTCAAGTGTAGGGGAAAAGGATTTTAATGGAACATCTCAGAAAGTTCAATATGTGTGTTCTAAAATTTGGTGGCAGTGGTCTAAGTAGTCAGCAAACTAGGATATGCATGCACCTGAGAAATCTTCAAGGTGAGAGACAGTGGCTGGCTGTTGCCCTGATAGCAGTGCAAAGAGATATTGCTGCAGCAGGGGTCACTTGTGCATCAGTTTGTTAGGACAGCGGACACATTACCTGTGGACCATGGGTCAGAGAGTCAGCATAGAATCGTGTCACATTCCATTCAGTAGGGACACTGAAAGGGGTGGAACTGGATGGTGAAGAAAACTCGACAGAAAGAACTTGGAGTTGCAGTGATGGATGCCCTGGGGCTGAGGTGGGAAGTCTAAATGAAGGAGGTGTATTTACCCACCTCAAGGGAATTTCAGGTAAAGAAAGTCTAATGGTGTAGAGAAGAGCTCTAAAGAACTGATTAAAATGCCTTCACAAAATGCCCCCTTGAGAAATTTAAGCATAGGCTAAGTCTAGCTAGGGGGCTAGTATAGTATTAGCCAAGTAAGGTAATTTCTGCCCCGTATGTCTTCTTCCTTCTGCTTTATCCCTGAAGGGACCAGGGAAGAGAAGGAGACATGAAAGTCATGGAAACAAGAGAAAAAACAATCATGTTTCCCCTCCCAGTGCAAGTGGGAGCTCCAATGCAGACCAAGCAGAGATAATGGAGAGGCTTTAACTGAAATTGTGCTTTTATTGCAGAGAATGAACTGAAATTACTTTTTTATGACTAAAAGTGAATAGAAGACCTTTTTACTATCTAAGAGTGACCAAAGTAGTGTTGAGACTTTTCTGGACTTCTCTGGGAGTCAGGAAAAAGTATTCCTGCAGGACAGCGTTAAATCTTTGTTGCATCCTAGGAAGCAGCTCTTTTGACATAACAAGTATAAACATATTTGTTACTCTAGAGTTGCCCGTTGTTTTAGGGTCTCTTCTATTATAAACATGTTTCTTTTACCAGGATAGACTTAAAACAATTCTTGAAGATTTTTCTACTTGTCCTGATAGGACAGCTATGATAGTCTATTTTCGTCAGTGTTCTAATTATTAAGGAGGTCCAAAATCTGTGAATAGAAGCCTTGCAATGCTAGAGGTAAAAAAAAAAAAAAAAGCACCAAACTCTGAAATAAATACTTTTTCCTTATCCTCAAATCTTTCTGCCGCATGAAATGTAAAATGCTTATTTTCTAGGGTGCAGAAATCCCCAGATTTTGTAGGATTTGGTTTCTTGCAACACAGTAAAATAAACAATTAAGAAAATACAGCTCAGTGATGCTTGGAGAGATTCTGCCTAAATGTACCCATCTCTTCTGGGATATGTTGATTTGTTGCCTCAACTTCCAACATCTTTGACATCTCATGGATTCGAACTCCAGAATTAGCTAGAATAGAACTGAATATTACCAAAGTAGGTCCAAACAGGCCCTACCCTAATTCAGACACTCTTTACCCTGATCCAAGTTGCAATAAGGGCTTGAAAAATAATTTAAGTATAAATGAGAGCCATAGGGTCCTTTATCCCCTGAAATCTAATAAA